GCCGTTTTTGCCAGGCAATGACAGAAGCGAAGCAGCGCTTTAAGGCCTTCCGCGCTGAGCTATAAGATCTTGCAAATAGATCTTGCAAATTGATCTCTTGCCTTAGTACATCTTAGTACCCTTAATGCCGCTCCACCACAGGATGCATCATGTACTGCCACTGCGTCGCCTTGATCAATCGTGAGTCTGCAGCCAGCGAATGCGGATCAGATGATAGCTGAGCAGCGAGCGATCTAGAACTCAAGGCAAGCCACACGCTGCAAACAGCGGCAACAATGAATGACACTTCGGCCCGGGCTTGCAAAACTCCACCTTCAACTCTTAAAGGCACATGAAAATCCTAGACCCCACAAACAACAAACTAAAAACAATCCAGAACCGATCATCGAAGCTGCTGCGCAGGCTTGCAACTCGAAGACAAAGCAGGTGCGGCTTGCAAAGCAAGAGTTTGTAAGCCCCACACTAGTAGAAAGTAGCCACGCTGTCGCCCGCAAGGAGGAGCCACACATGGAACTTTGGTGTGACGCTGGATATCACGGAGAAGGTGCGCTGTCGGTGTGTTTCTGCCTCTGCCACGTCACGTGGTCAAGTTGGAGCTCCTAACATTTCACAGCAGGAACTCTCCCGGTCTACGTCACGGCGTACAATCCTGAGTCCAAGAAGGTGCACTGCTCAAGCATCTTCCGCGTCCACAGCAGTGTGCAACTTGAGGAATGAAGGCTGGCTTCTCGCTCTTGCAAGTATATTTTATTCGTATTAGGAGCACATCCGCAGAAGGCTCAGCTTCAGATGCTTCAGTACCCTCAGCTCAACTTAACTTGACAACACTGCTTTGCTTCCCCAGAAGAAGCATGGCAAAATAAATGTCGCTTAGCAAGGTTCGGTTCCGTGTCAGCGTTGGTATTCCGGCTTGCGTTTGGCTTGTTCGGTCTTGCTCTGAGAGTACCTTGAGCGCATGTCGAATCTTGATGTCATGCAGCCTTTCAGTGCCTTTCAGGAAGAGGCTTGGTGCGCCTGTGTCTCCCCATCCGAGCGAGATCTGGCACAAGCACCGCCAGCAGATGGTGACGCTGAGGCCATGTCGTGTGCTGGCCTTGATCACGAAAATCTGGGCAGGACGCCAGCAGAGCGGTAAGCTGGTAAGCTTCAGGTAAGCTTCAGAGCATGTTTGTGCTTGCAGAAATCGTGAGACTTGTGGAGCCGGAAGCCACAAGGAGTCAGGATCCAAGGTAACAAGCTTCCGCAACCTACTACATGAGGTGGAGGGAAATAGAGAAGCGAACCGATGCGCGTGTCGGGGGGGCCAGCCCCAGGCGTGTCGTTGCAGGCCTGGAATGGCCAGAGGGACGGTGCTCGGCGCTTCGTTAGTGCTCGGCACCTGCACAAGTCTCGGCAAGTCCGCCCAGAAGATTCAAACATGACTATCACAGCCTGACGTCTGATGGGGCGTGCTGTAACCATGCTGGCTGTTCTGGCATGCTCTGGCTCGGAACTTCCCCCCTCGAAAAAAAGACACCAGCTCGACCTCCTCCGTCCCACGACCCCGACCCCCGCACCTTTCACCCATTAAGAGCCCGAACCTCCCCCCTTCCTCGCAAAAGATGTGCCCGAACCCGACCCCCACCCCGCCCTACGTATAGACTCCCACAGAGACTCAAGCCCCGAACCTGAACCCGAACCCGAACCTCCACCCTTTCGAAAAGACACTTAGCAACTCCACTCGAAACCTGAATCCAAACCCGGACCCTGCACCCGAACCCTGCTTCAGCCTTCCCCCCACAAAAAAAAGGCATCCCCACCCCAAACCTCACGCCCAACGCCAGGCCCCTTAGAGAACTGCTCCAGAACCCCTCCCAGAGCCTTTCGAGATTTAGGCATTGGGGCTGAGGGTTTAGGGTTTGAGGTGTTTAGGACTGGGCTTTGGGGTTTAGAGTTTGGGGTGTAGGGTTGTTCTGGGGTCAATAAGTGCTTGCGGTTTGGGTTTAAGGTTCTCGGGCAGGTTTTCGGCTGAGGGCTTACTGCCTCGGGCTTAGGGTCTTTGTGAAGGCTTAGGCCAGGATAATTCGGGGTTCGGGCCATAGTGTTTAGGGCTTTCAGGGTGTAGGGATTACAGGGTTGATGGCGATTGGGGTTCAGGGTTTTTCGGGGTTGGCGTTTTCAGGGTCGAGGGCGCTTTTAGGGCTTGCATGGCTTTTAGAGGTTCTTGGGTTTAGGTTGAAGGGTTTCGGGTTGTAAGTTGTAGGGTTGCAGGTTTGTAGGCTTTGGGCTCAGGGTTTAGATCTGCGAGGATTCATGGGGGGTTTGAGGGTTTGGGGCCGTTGGGGTTTAGGGGTTTCGAGGCTTGCGGGCGTTTAGGGTTTTGAGGTTTCTTCTACTGCCGGGGTGAAGTCGTGCCAAGGCCATGTGCCGCAGGGTTTGGGCTTGCTTCCCCATATCCTCAACAGGTCTTATATTTCACCATACCCTGATTTTTGCGGTCTGAGAGTACTGTGCACATTGACATGGTTTTGGGACATTTGGGGATCGTAGTTTTTGCTGTAATGTTGTATCCTGATTAGTGTGCTCCCCCGGAATTGTGGAAAAAAACCCAAAAATTATTCAGGGGGATCTATTTGAGGAGGACCCCCGGAATTGTGAAAAAAAATCGGGCGATGCAAAATTTCGGCGAGGCTGTCGAATGGTGTTGTCGTCCATAAATCGCTTCTGAACCGAGCCTGAGAGACCAAAGATCAAAAGTTTAAAGACTGAAACCTTGAGGCCTGAGGTTGTCGGGCCCTGAAATCTTCAGTCTCCAGGCCGGGCCCAGGGCTAAGATTTCCTTATTAAATTCTTTTGTACCGAGGCCGGGCAATCAAATTTCAAAGGGGGTAGTCCAGCAGCTGCCCGGATGCCGTATAATATAAAAGTTTGCTCCCCCGGAATTATATTTTTTTTTGCGGGCTAGTTGGGTTTGGATCCAGAGGCCTAAGGGCTGAGGTTTCCTAAACCTTGAGGCCTGAGGTTGTCGGGCCCTGAAATCTTCAGCCTCCAGGCCAGACCCAAAACTAAGATTTCCTTATAAAATTCTTTTGTACCGAGGCCGGGCAATCAAATTTCAAAGGGGGTAGTCCAGCAGCTGCCCGGATGCCGTATAATATAAAAAGTTTGCTCCCCCGGAATTATATTTTTTTTTGCGGGCTGGCTTGGTTGGGATAGATGGATCCCCTTTAAATTCATATAAACTCATCCCTCTTAAAATCGTATGGATCCCTCTTAATTTCATATAGTCTCACCCCGTTTAGAATCATATGGATCCCTTTTACACTCATACGAGCTCATCCCTTTTAAAATCATATGGATCATATGGATCCCTTTTAAATTCATATAAACTCATCCCTTTTAAAATCATATAAAACCAGACCCCCCCCCCCCCCCAAATTGCCCCCCCCCCCCCCCCCCCTCTAAAGAGCGGGATCCTTTCGTTGAGGGGGGGGGGGGGGGGGCCACACTAATCAGCAGACAACATTACCCCCAAGCAGTCAGCACTCGATTCCTGCGAAGGGATATGGACTTACCATAAAAGTTCATGTTGTATTTCGGTGCGTGCCCACTCAACCTGTGCAGTACGAAATTTGTGGGCCCTGCAGCCGCAAACGGAAAAACAATGAGCACAACTTGTGTGCAACATTTGCCGACTTCCTGCCGTGGCTTTCTGGATTACAGGTCAGCCTGTTAAAGAACAGTCTCCGTCGTACTGTTTGGGGCCCGGGACATACGGGAGGAATAATGCCGTGGCATCATGACAACCATCCCCAAACCGCCTTCCCAAGCCATGCAGTTTCGCTGCTCAAAACCGCTTGCAAATGCTGTCTTAAGGCTTCTCGACCCACTGTGCACAGCTCCGGCGGCATTTTGATAAAAAAGTGCGAATGCTCACAAAAGTCATAGTTTCGCTGTTGTTGGGCTGACATTACACCCCTTGGGGTGACTTCCTTCATCTGCCTTCCCATGCTGTGTGCCGCAGGGTTTGGGCTGACTTTACACCGAGTGGGTCGAGATAAACCTGGCGGGTGTAGGGTTTTGAGGGTTTAGGCTATTTGGGGTGTACGGGCTTTAGGCTTGTTAGGGTGCAGGGTTTTGGGGCTTATGGCTTTTTGAGTTTGGGGTTTAAGGGCTGAGGGCGTTTGAGGGTTTCCCGCGTTTTGGGCGCGGATTTCGGCGTGTTAGGGTTGAGGGATGTTAGGGCCTGTTAGGGCTTGGAGTTTTTCGGACCCGTGGCCGCCAAACCCGAACCCGAACCTGAACCTGTTGTGGTTCGGGTTCGGGGGCAGGCCGGGCCACTTACTGTCCCAGACAGTCCGAACCAACCAACCCACCGACCCGCAAGCAACCAACTCCTGCATCTAAGCCTGGGAAGTTGGACAGTGATTGCGCGACAGGGTGCTTGCTAAATTATTTGTTCCTTCTGCAGGCGGCGAATTCGAAAGTCGAGCTGGTCTTCAGGCTCACAGCCACGAAGTTCGCGACCTGCATTATGAAACTTGTGCTGTTCGATGAGCTGCCTCGAAGCCTGCATGCAGATTCACAGATTATCCGGAATGCGACGGCAAGTTTGCACCCCAGCTGCTTGCACCTTGTGCATCTTGCTTGTTTCACTAGCTGCCATAAATTCATTTGCAGAATCTGATGGAATGAAATCCCAGTGTTGCGACAGACTACACGATGCCATCACCGGACATCGAACACGTTCGGTGCATCTGAGGCCACGCTGCTTACGGCCGAAGAGCGCTGGTCCTCCAACTCTGCCTGCACGGTGAAAAGCTTATCTTCTTCAGCAGTGACCTCGTGACTACCCACAGCAGAAGCCAAACATGCATCTAGTTTCATGCTGGTGGCATGAAAGCGCTTTGGAGTTTTTAGCTTGCCAGAGCTTCCCGAAAACAGCAAGTATTCTTCACAACACATTTGTTTCGGCTCAAGTGTTCTTCCCTTCATCCGGGCTTTCGTATCCATGCAGACGAATGGACACTGCCAGTCCACATTTATGTCAGGACCTCCAGGACGCGGCAACAAACTAAAAGGTAAGTTACAGAACAGGTAAAGTACGTCATAGTACGTTTACGCTCCTGGCATGAGTGCCACCTCATTCTCCTTTGCTTTGCTTTGCTTGCTTGGCTTGGCTTGGCTTGGCTTTGCTATGCTGTGATTGAAATCTTCTGTCTTTAGAAAGCTGCAACAGGACGGCTACCGATCCTGTCATTCAGCGCACAAGACGAACAAACATGGAAGAGGATCGAGTTCGTTCTGTCACCCATCCAACCGGTTAATATCACATGCAAAGAGTGGCCGAGGTTTCTTGTCATGACCTCGCATCTCAACATCGGTCCGCTTTGACAGGCACTGTTCTGTGGATGTGCATCACTGCCTACCAGTTGATCTATTCGATGATAACGACAAGCTTTGCCCTCACAGTTCTACCAAGAGAAGCTGAAAGACTAAACAGCGCTGCTTGCCGGCACATCATGCTTCTGAGAAAGTACTTCCTGCGACAGTACTCAAGCTCGCATGTTCTGAAACATAACGGAATGTAAGGATACTACTAAACTCGCAGAACCGCAGGAAGCTTCAAGCCTGTGGCTGGCCATCTACGTGATGATCTGCGGAGCGACGCAACTTATATGTGGGAAGCTTATATTGTCTCAGAGTTTCAGGAGGTGCCCTGCCAGATGCTGCCAGGTTCAGGTCGGCTGCAGGCATCTGCAGGCAGTGTAGGCTGCCTCTTGGAACCCTCTCAGGCCCGATAGCAGGCATGTGTTCCGATCGATTGTCCTCGCGCTGGGGCCGGCGACGCCCCATCCTTCTGGCTGGAAGTGTGGTGGCCAGCGGAGGCCTCTGAAGATCTCTGAAGCATCCCAAAAGGATCCCAAAGCAGAGTCGCCCTTGTGGGATCCGAGCCTCCATGTCCGAGACGAATCTCGTTTGGCAAGTGTCGCACCCTTCTTCAATGCTCCTTCCGACAATCTCAACGTCCTCCAATAGCCTCCACCTGCCTTTGCCTGCAGGCTTCATGCTGGTCTACTTTGCAAGCCTGTTGTCGTGGCCGATCATGTTCATGGTTGGCTTGCTTGTGACAGAGATGGCTCTCAACGTGGCGTATGCTGCCCATGCTGCACTCCCTGCCGAAGCTTGCCTCAGAAGCATGTTGCAGAATGCTGCTAGGTCTGCTGGGTGCATCGTCGCGCTAGTTTCCTGACAAGTTCAGCGGCATGATTCAGCCGACTTGCTTGCTACGGTCTATGCTCCCCACCCTGCAGCATAGAAGGACCTCAGTACAGCCAGCACCAGAGATGTCGAGTCTACAGGCCCACTGCTGGAACAGAGTTCGTGTGATGGCATGCAGCGCTTGTATGTGACGTGCAAAGCGGAAGGCGCCCAGTTTCTGCCTTTCCAGGTTCATGTAGAGATGCTGAAGCCGGCATCGTCTCCGGCATCATTGTAACTTGACGCATCGGAAAGCGAACTTGTGCACAACGAAAAACATGTTGAGGGTACAGCGTCGATTGTCGAACACCCAAGGCACTGCACTCTTTCCTTGGCGCCGTGCTGGCAATGGCTGTTATAGAGCTGCTGAGAGGCGAGTGGGGCTTGGCAAAGAGCACATATCCAAAAGAATGAGGCATGAACAACTCTAACAGGATCAAAAAATCAACAACCTGTGTTTTGAAAAATGCACTTAGTTGCACTTGGAAGGTTGGATAGACGATGTAGACGCGCCCTGGGATGCCAGGTCAGCCGCTGCAAACGTTCTACATAATCTATGCAGCTGGAGTGGTCTTCTGCTCTTCGATTGTGTGCACGCTAGCGAAGGAGGCTGCTCGATGCAAAGTGAGCCGGTTTTTGGAGAATTTCTGTTTTTTTTCACGAACCTTGCACCTCAGAGAAGTCAGATTCCACACGCACTCGCAAGCCTGCAACCAAAACAGAGATTCGAGTTATGATGCAATGAACATGGCTCGCTGCAATATCCAAGGAACGTAGCAATCAAAGCTCGGCATTTCCAAGTGGAGGTTGATACTATTTGATGCTGAAGTTTGATGGGCTGTTATCAAACGCAGGTTCCCGAATAGCCATGCAGGTGAGATTCTGTCTGCCTACACGCTGGACTTACCCGCTGACCTTGATTTCTTCTGGGTTTGTACTGGCCGACTGCTCTTCTACACCAGCCAGGCTGAGCCTGGGTGGCACAGGGAATCACCGGGATCACCTAGTAGGCCTGCGCCGATTCAATGCCACACAGAACACTGACGGACGGCTTTAAAGCGGTTGCAAAGATTCTGAAGATGCATTACACGGCGCACATCAGAGCAGAAAACACTCACTAGCCAAGGTCATCGTCTTTATGGAGTACTTCATCCGCGACATGTTCGAGGCCATCGTTGAACGGGAATGTTGCGCTTGAAGCACATGTACATTCATGTACAGCGTGCGACAGACGGTACTCATTGCCCAGCAAGGCTAAAGCCGAGGCAACGGTGATCTCGAGATTAATTACTTTGGCTGCCCAGCAAATACTTAGCGCGCTTGACTGACATGGGTGTTCGGTGCAGAACTGGCGCGAGCCGGAAGGTTCGCGCCGCCAGCTGCATGTTCAGTCTAACTTGATAGAAAAAGGAAGCCAATATCTTAAGCAGCAGCATATAAAGCAACAAGCAAACCAGATTCGCGTTGCTCTTAAGGTCCCTGTCTGTGGTTTCAAGCATGTATAAGACAGTCGGACAGCCGGCCAGCGACAGATACGGCAAAACCTCTGTGGAAGGAAACCACGCTTCTGCGAAAGTTTTGTCATCATCGACAGATTTGTTGGTACTAGAGAACAGGCTCGTTCCACGCCTCGAGTTGTATGCCCGAGAGTAAGAAAGTCTCTTGATAAGATCCGCGAAGGTCGCCGCAACAGCACGAAAGAGACAGTTGCCTCACTCACGCCATTCCTGGCTGGAATAGTACGGTAGTACTAGTTCGGGAAAGGTATAACACAAGCGGAGAAATTGTAGAATACCAGATCGGGACGTTCCATTCCAGACGTGTCCACGAAGGGCAGCTCGACAGTTCCGCGGAAACCAAATCTGGATGAAGGAACTTTCGTTGACTAGCTCCAGATATCAAACCTCATATCAAAAGACTTCAGTAACAGTCTGTCAGCACTTCGTTAATGGACTGTCTCGATAGGTCAGAGGGCTCGGAAGTGCTCATCCTCTCATATGTTTCATAGCTCTAAAATCCCCCAAGTAGTTTTGAAGGGCGCAGCGAGTTGAAGACGTAAGTGCGGGTGAAGAAGAGGTTTCACATCTTCAGGCAGGTTCGGGCTCAGTCTCGTACAGTGCGCCAAGCAGTGAAAAGACCGCCAATTCAACATCTGCACTTCTCACGGAGCCATGTTTCCCACAGTTCCCAGCGAAAGCTCAAGGTATGCATATATGTATATATGTGTGTATAATGTTATCGGTGTCACAAACTTTCCTGAGATGATGCATAGGCTCGCGTAAGCTGTGCTACCGGGCCCAACAATAAGGCAAATGACCTTACGGAGAGGGTGAAGGGGAAAGATCGGAGGGGCCGCGCGAAGATGCGACCATGCACCACATGTGAACACGGCAGGAAGAACTTGTCCATGCAAACCGAGCCAGAAGCAGGCGCACATCTTGGAAGAGAGGGGAAGGGTACAAGCAGAAACAGTTGAACTGAGCCGTGGCAACAGTATGAGAAAGCCTTATACAAGCAGCACCGTGAACGGCCAACACGCGTATCTGAAGCACAGGACAGGCATTCCCCCAGGTCTGCGCATGGTTCTATATAAACTCAGCAAGATGTTTGGCTTGTCGAATTCACCACTCATTTTTCTCATATCATATGTGTCTAAAAGTTCTATGAAAACAAAGCCTGACATCAACCTACGCACTTTGTGCATGTTGCATCGAGCTGGCATGGTGAGCCAGCAGCCAACACGACCACACCACCTGCACCTGAAGGAAGCATGAAGCAGCAAGATGCAGCAAGACGCTCAAAACACCCCCGAGGTTCTCATTGGGCAGCTCGTTGGTGCAGCTGTGGCACTTCCCAGCAGCCGTCTTTCTGACAGCTTTGGTCGCAAACCCATGGTTTACGCATCTTGTTCTGCTCTATGTGCCGCTTGTCCACATGATTTCGCGTAGTTTTGAATGGCCTCTCACAAGATGGGCCCAGAATATGGCATGTTGAAGCTTGAGGCTACCTTTCTGACCTTCATCAGCGCGCCACACTTCGGATGGTATGTCATGGAAATTGGAGCAGTTCTGTATGGCCTGGGAGCTGGGTCATACATGAGTCGGATCCTTAGTTCAGGCTGCCACCTGTCATCCCAAAGTAGGTGCCTAAAACGAGCACATCATTCGTTTCTTTGATGTTTAGGTTGCTGTTTGTTTTGGTTTTGGTGTGTTCCCTGCAAACCGAGGAAAATTGAACGAAAGAAACGAACGCAAGGAAGAACGAAAGAGAACCCCACATCGCTCAAGCCTCCCTAAGCCACTAAACCCTAAAACCCTACCCACATAGCACAGCCAACGAAAAGATAAGGTAACAAAAGCGGTTGCACTTGGAAGATCACTGCAGCACAACGTTCGAATTATTTGGCAAAATGCATTTCACCCAATAGACAAGCTTTGGGCAGATCACTGGCTAACCCCAATACAGTAAGGGGAGCCTTTGAACGAATGTTTTTGCTGTCAAGGTGTGGACTATGCACTGGCTCTCAAGTGCTTGCCCGCGTCCAAGGACATTGACGCGTTCATCTGCTGAATAGCCAGAGATAGCCAGAGTAGCTCGAAGAGTGGCCCCAGCTAGAGCAGCTAGAAATACCTAGAACACAGCAAGGGACCGAGCATAAGCTCATGTGAGCTATCCAGGACAGCGCGCAAGCGTTTGGTCTTTGGGGCATCGCCGGCTTTCTTGGAAGCTGTTTGGGCCCACTGCTGGTTGGGGGAGTCCTGTTCTTCTTTCCTCAAGCAGGTATCTTGCTTCGCACCAGTATTGACACATCTCGGTTCAACTCGGAAAACATCATGTGACGAAGTTGCTTCACGGGCCTGAGCCAAGATGGTTTTATCACATGCAGCTGGGCATGGGCTCAAGTCTAACTCAATGTTGACTTGTTGAGAGGCTTTTGCACAAAACACCTCAGGCTCCGAGCCCAAGATCTGGCACAGAAGCCATTTCCAGTACAAGGCCTCGGCTGTGGCATTATTGCATGGCCTGTTTGTTTGCCTCCTTTGCCAGGGCTACGCCCTTGGCATACTATCAGCCGGTGCGCTTCCTGCTCTAGCCGTGATCCGTGCAACTACACACATTCGCAGGGAAGTGTAGAATCAATGAAGGCCCTCAGCAAGTCTCAGCCTTAGAAGTCTTAGAATTAGGCTGACTTTGGAGCCATTCTGTCCAGAAAAGGAGTATGTCGTTTTGCAGCGTTTCATGGTCAGATTGCCAGCCTGAGCGTTGGGCTTTGAACTTGGATCTGAGACCGCATGCCGAGACAACTTTATAAGCGTTAACCTATCGGCCCTGACAGGATCCTGCAGCTTGATGTCCTACGTAGGGGAGGGGGGAGGGGAAGTGCCTACTTATTGCACATCTTGCTCATATCTACATACGTAACAGACTAGTACAAGCCTGCCCAACTCCGCTGCAGTCCAAGCTCACAGCTGCATCCGTCCGTCTGCTGCTCCGTCCGTTCAGACTTCTTTAACTTTCGAAGTTCCCACCGCCGTCCCCTGCAATCCACCTTGCTTCACTGCTTCACGTAAGCCACACTCACCTTCACATTCACCCCTACCGGATCCCACTGGCACGCTCACACCGTCCAGAACCCACCGATCTGCTCCAACATTCTTGAGGCTGGCGTTTCATCCACCTGCGCGCATCACCTGCCGATTGCCCGACTTGGACTATTTGCGCCGGCGCAAAAAGGCTTCTTTTCCGTCCACTCTGATTTTTCTGGAGTGCCTGCTATATCCTTTGTGGCTACTAGCTACATACGTAATGGACCGTAATGGACGAGTACGGCTCGGTGAACAAACCTTAAAAACCCTGAGACGCTAGAATCCCAAACCTTCAGTTCTTCTCAATGCATCGCATCGGCTGAATTCCTTGGCATGAAGTTAGGCATCGTCTGTCTGTCTGAACAATGTTTTATGCGATGTCTCTGAACCGGAATCACGGTATCTAGACGGACTCCATTGCCGCCGCACAATCCCGTCAAACTCATGCGGCGGAAATCTCGTCCACCATCCTCAATTTCCTTTGGGCCTCCATTTAAGCGTTCCCTCAGAACAACCCTCTTCAAACCACGCGTGCTTCCGCGATCTTCCGCAGCTTCTTGGCATTTCTTATTCCAGCCCGCGGACGTGATCTTGCGCTGCCTCGGGCACCCTTCTATTTGTTGACCAGGTGTGAACGCCGCCACGCCGTTTGGTACGTTTCCCGTCTCCAAGAGCGTTGGCTCAAGCACATGAGACTTCATGGGCGTGCAGATTGGCCATGCCTGCCTTCCATCTGAACTAGGCCTCAACATCTTCGGATCATAGAACCACGATGAACCACGTTTAAGCTCCGCACAAGGTCATCTATTTGAGTATGTAAGTGTTGCTGAATTTGTACGGTATGCCGTTTCGCCGTTTTCGTCTTGCGCGCCAATCGTCTTTCGCGCCAAGGCGGGTGTGATTCGCAACCAGTACACAGAAGCCCATGCTATTTCACGTGTTGCCGCCAATTGAGTTGCCTTGCGTTCCACATGTCACCGACATACCCGGCTGGTCAACTGAGGCTCGTCTACTGGATACAGCGGAATAAGTGAGCAACTCCGACTCTATGGAGTCCTGTTCTGGCCCGCCAGGTGAGTTGGTGTGGCAACGGCCCTGGAGGCCGGCTATGGAGATCTATGGAGCATGTGAGGGTGGGGAGTGGACGGCAAACGAGGGAGATGTGGAGAGAGGGAGGGCCCCCCCTTCACAAAAAATGCCCCTTTTCGTCTAACAACATACATTGGGCAAATTAGGGATAAAACATTTGCTGCCAGCTATAAAACATCTTTGCATGAGACTCTTGCAGGGGCTCCATATGCAAGATCATTTTAACGTTCTGTCTTATACCTGAAATGCACACCACGGAAGTGCTATGAGCTTGCGTTGCTTTTGTCATGAAACCTACATACCTAGGAGGGCCCGAGACTGTTCCGAAAGCCAAGCAGGCTGCCTCCAGATGAATGAAGGCGTTGTGAGACGGTCTCCCATCTCCAGTTGCCCTTGAAATACAGGTTCTTGCATCGCATGCATGTCATGTATGTGTCTGGTCTGTATATGTGGTGAGATGCCTCCACCCCCCTACATTGACAACTCTCGCAAAGCCGGGGTGCTGCGAGACGTCGGCAGAGAAAAACCTCGTGAATCTAAAGCTCGCTCGCATAAGTTCACCCACCACAGCTTCTCCTCATGTGCTCACAGTCGTCGCCGTCGCCCTCTGACTGAGACGATGAAGCACAGCATTCACAAGCCTCTATCATTTCCTGGCTGTCCTTGTCAGACTTCTCCTGTGCCTCTTCAAAAAGTTCATCCCATTCATCACGAGTGGCATTGTCGCTACTTAGTTCCCAGGAAAGCCCAGACTCCTATCGTGTTTAAATTCAGAGGGTTGCGAATCCACTACAAAAATACTCGAAGCCTATCTGTGGCAGCTGTGGTTTGCGGGGTGATTGGAACATACAAGACAAGGGTTGTCTGTCCATCTGACCTTGGGCTTTCGGGCTCGGCTTGGACACGCCTGCTTCAAGCACATGACTCAAACCTTTCCTGCAATCACAGAAGCAAACTACAAACAAAACGATAAAATAGTGATAACATCAGGGCACCCTTCCTGCAGTCTCAGAAGCAAACTACAAACAAAACGATAAAATAGTGATGGCATCATTGTGTAGCTGTAATAATATCATAAACCCATTTTCGCTAAGTAAAATGCCCCACGAGCATTTTGCGAAGTTGCAACGTGGACGTTTTGTTGCTTGAACGTGCTTTGACTTTTCAAACCATGTTTCCGGTTTTTGAGCCGCTGTTATGTACCCGTGGGGCTTGCCCACAGGTGCATGTCTGAATGGCTCGCCCACGCGTGCATACATATATATATATATAGAGAGAGAGAGAGAGAGTTCCAGCAAGATCTGGAAACGCTTTTGAGGTTGTTCCAGCAAACGCAGCAGCAGCTGGCCCAAGTAGTCGGGGAAGAGGCGATGGCAGCGCGCCCGGACAGCCAGCGGAGCCTCCGCGCATGCGGGGAAGCGATCAAAACTCTCTACGACCTGCTCGCCCTGCAATGAGTGGCTTTCTTGAGAGGCTTCTTTGAGCAAATCACGGCACAGGGCCAGGCCTGACCGCAGTTGAAACGCCAATATGCGAGTTGCATAGTCTTCTGAGACCCCCCCTTGCCTCAAACTCCGACCCCCCCTTGAGAGGGAAAGTTTGCCTCCAAAAACACCCCAAATGAGGGGGACCCCAGGATCGGCCCGGGTCCCAGTTAAAAATGCGATTTTTTCGTACTGAAATCGATGACCAAAACCGAGCCTGGACCTCCCTGGGACCCCCCCCCCGAGACCCTTCTGGGACTTTGGGGACTTTCTCGGACCGTGGACCCCCCTGGGACCCCCCTGGGACCCCCCTGGGACCCCCCGGAGACCCTTTGGAACCCCCTTGCAGGGGTCCTGGACCTCTGAAACCCCTGGCACCTTCCCAGGGGGTCCCAGGGGGGTCCCAGGGGGTCCCAGGGGGGTCCCAGGGGGGTCCCAGGGGCCCCAGACCCCCCCGGGGGGTACCCCCCTGACCCCCGTAAAAAACACTAAAAGACATCAATGGTCGTAGGTTTGGGGTCCTAATTATATTAGGGCTGACGCCCTAGGTCTGAGGCGTAGCCAGTCACTGCCGTCTCGTCTACCGGGAGGCTTTACCCTCCCTCACCGTTCTGTGGAGACGCTCGGGCGGGGACCTCGGTCGAAGCCTCGAGCGCCCATGCATATGGACAGCGGCGCTCTCGGCAGTTTAGGGTTTAGGGTTTAGGGTTTAGGGTTTAGGGTTTAGGGTGTGTCAGGGGAGGGCGCGCGCTCGGGTGTGAAACACCCCGGGCCGCGCGCTCGCGTTGCCCGTCAACCCACCCCGGCCACCCAAACTATACTCTATTAGGGTTTAGGGTTTATGGAATTTACTTTCTTGTGCTCTGATGCTTGCTTTGGTGTTTTTAAAGTTGCGCTGTTAGGGTTTAAGCTGGGGTTGGGGGTAGCCTCGGCCCTTTTCGGGCCTTCGGCGTGTCAGGGCCCATAGAGGCCCCTATTTATTTGAAGGTCAAGGAGACCCTTTGTGCCGGCTCCTGGACTTCCCTTCTTCAAGGGCCTCCCGGCTAGACAAGAGAGGTCCACCAGCTTCCAGAGGGCCCCCGGAGTCCCAAGTCGCGGGAGTTTGGTTTGCAAGCTTGCTTTGATGTTTTTAAAGTTGCGGCTTCCTTGGCTAAGGCTATCTGTGGCTGAGGTTGTGCCAGGGGGCAGCCTTGGCTCTCCTCGGTTGGGAGGGTCCTAGGCCAATCACAGGGAATGGGTCAGTTTGAAATTCAAAGACGAAACAACAACATGTTTACATGTTGCAGGCGTTGTCGACTATTTTTGCGCACTAGCGCGTGCTCGGTTGTTGGTGTTCGAGCCAGCAAGCTGCAAACATGCACGTCGCCTGCGACGCGTGAGGGTCTTGATTAGAACACGATAATAATAAAGAGTCACGAAGCTCGGGCAGCAAGTCAAAGCGCGTAGCACTGCATTTTCGTTTGTCAGCTTGGAGAAGCGGTGGACAACTGCACTGGTACAGATTACAATGGAGGATAGGCGCATCCAGCCTGCCACCAAAACAGGTACTCCTGTGGTCACGCTTCGTAGGACAGGGCTACAGAGGCTACGGCGCGGCTAAAATGAGGAGCGGCATCGGAACAAGCACCAGGCGAGAGCTGCGGAGCCAAGCAGTTGCAGTCCAGGAAGGTCCCAGCACCACGGCAATCCACAGCAGGCCCCAGTTGTCGGGCAGCAGGCGAGCAGCCCAGGCCAGCAAAATCCTGCGGCGACTCGGCCAGGCACCCGGCTCCATCCAAGCCAGAGCCCACGCAGCAGTCTCGAGCTGCGCAGTGGACCTTTGCCCTGTCGGCGAGAGAGGTGTGTTGCTGGCCAGGGAGCCTCCGGCGCCGTTCTCTTCCCTGTGCACAAGGACCGGCGTGCCCAGCAGCCCTCGATGAATCGCCTCGAGATCTTCGTCGTCTGCGATGTCTGCCCAGCGACGACTCGGAGCGCC